TGAGGGAAAAAAACTTCACTGGTATCGGGTAGGTATCTGTATCGGCCAATACCGAACCCTAGGTATCGGAATCGGTATCGGAGGCGAAAAAGGCGGATCGGAGCATCCCTAATCACAGTGCGTGAGTACCGCATTGAGATGTCTTGGGCTTGAACCCTGGTATAGCGTGCGGCCTTGCGCAATTATAATTAAACAATATCTAACCTGATAATAAATATATTACCTGATTCAGTGTGATGGCTGAGCCTGTTTCTGAGATAACAACATGCCAATCCGTGGTTGGATTTCCTACACGGCTAACCGTAAAAAAAAAAAAAACAAGAATTCGGCTTAATTTTTCGTTCAGGGGTAGAATAATGAATAAACAGCTTGACTATTTGATTTCTACACGTGGGCAGGGAATTAAACGCCCGCATTTTAAACTGATGTGCTCTTTGTGTCGATGCTGTTACTTTAAGTATAGTAATATAATGATTTACAAAGAGACAACACTATTTGTAATGCTATGGTCTGTTCTGCTTCAATTACATAAATGTTTAAATTTGTAAATTAGTTAAAAAAAAACTCAGAAACTGTTTTGTTGATTTTGGCAAATCTGTTTTTCCACACAGAAATTCTTGTTCAGTGAAGCTAGGCTCCGTAAGGTAGCTATCAGCTATAGCAGTGATACACGCTAAACAATACTCGGCGATCTGAGCAGGAACTGGGTGGGTGTTATGTAGGTGGGTGTTATGTAGTGTTTGTGATTGGTTTCAGGTGAGCGTGTGATTAGTGAAATGGTGCATGGAAAATGTAGTCCGTGGTGACGTGCAACAGTCAGTGTAGTGAAAGAGTCAATATGATGGACGAGTGACCTCTGGTGGCGGCCGGAGGGAAGTCCACGGACCGGATTCGTGACAGGTATTTATCTATCTTTGAGAATTCTACTCACTGTGTGACTCAAATTCTCTAGCGCAGGGGTTTTCAACCTTTTAACCCCCAAGGAGCGGCTTCCAGATGCTCCAAACACTATACGATCCAGGAGGGCGGTGGATTTACCTGATTCAATGTGATGGCTGAGCCTGTTTCTGAGATAACAACATGCCAATCCGTGGTTGGATTTCCGACACGGCTAACCGTAAATCATCTTACACTGTCAATAAGCGTGACTGATACTCGAGCCAACTCTGCTCTAACTGTCGACTAGCAGTGGGAGTCAGATTGCCCCCTAGTGGATGGCTAAAGATTTGCTAACTCATATTCATAAATCCTCAAGGCAATGTCTCTGAATTAACTGATGCTCGCGGCCCCCTTGACAGGTGCTAGCGCCCCCCTGGGCCCCACAGGTTGAAAATCCCTGCTCTAGCGGACCGGATTCGTGACAGGTATTGATCTATCTTTGAGAATTCTACTCACTGTGTGACTCAAATTCTCTAGCTTTGTTACTGGAGTATCCGAAGCGCGAGCTGTAAAGGCTCTGCCCTCTTCCGGAAGGGAGGCGGGAACAGCAGCTCATTTGCATTTAAAGAGACACACACAAACAATTGCTGCCTCCCAATTCGCTTACTTATAGACCCTTTTTCAGTTAGTAAATATTGTGATGTTTTTTTATGGGCGGAGCTTAGGTGGAGGCAGAAAGATTCACCTGATTGCTTCACTAACACTAGCTAGCAAGTTTTGTTTGCTTGTTTTTTAACAATGATTTGAGGAAAATACGATTTTATCAGAGTATGTAATGTCACTCACTGTCCAAGATTGTGATTGCTATTGGAAAATGTTAACTTTAACGGAATTGGCCGACTCGGACACACTCACTCAATGGATGGACGATCTGACAGTAGTGGCCTGACACACCTACCAGATAGAGTAAATAGAAACTGAGGGCATATAAATCTTCAGATGCATGTAACTGTGTACTGACAGTGGCAATTGTAAGCAAATGCTACTACTTGAACACACACCTAACACATAACATGGGCCTTCACTGTTCCCTCTCTCTACAGTTGCATTTGTAGAAAGCGAGATGACACAAACTTTTGTTTAGTCTCTGGTCGTTAACTTGTTCCCCTATTTCTGATTAGATGGGCATGCATGAGAAATCTTTTAGTGTATCTTTTGGTCATTTGATTTTTTATTTAATATTGAAAGTAGAAAATGAGAAAACGGCTCCATTTTATTTATTTATTTTTTTTTTGCGAAAAACAAAACAAAACAAGAATTCGGCTTAATTTTTCGTTCAGGGGTAGAATAATGAATAAACAGCTTGACTATTTGATTTCTACACGTGGGCAGGGAATTAAACGCCCCCTTTCTGCTATTGGTCAGCCGAAGATCAAACCGTGCCGTCATCAGTTCTTCTGCAGTTCCGCGTGGCAGAATACTAGTCCTCTCCTGCTGCAGTTGTAGGGATTCTTAACCCGTTTTATTGCAACTACATTTAATCCAAAAATACAGATATAAATGTCAACAATATAAAGACAGAATACAGAAATGTACAGAATGTGAATTAGCACATATGTGAGTGCAGTGTTACTGAATGAGCATTTTAAACTGATGTGCTCTTTGTGTCGATGCTGTTACTTTAAGTATAGTAATATAATGATTTACAAAGAGACAACACTATTTGTAATGCTATGGTCTGTTCTGCTTCAATTACATAAATGTTTAAATTTGTAAATTAGTTAAAAAAAAACTCAGAAACTGTTTTGTTGATTTTGGCAAATCTGTTTTTCCACACAGAAATTCTTGTTCAGTGAAGCTCCTCCCATAACAATCACGTCATCAGTGAAGCTCCTCCCACAACAATCACATCATCAGTGAAGCTCCTCCCACAACAATCACACATTCAGCGATTCAGCAATAAATGCTGGAATATTCCCATCAGTTTACAAGTGCAGACGAGCATCAGATCAGTAGGAAGAGCTTATTAAAGAGGACAGAGAGAAGATGAGCGATCCAGAACCCTGCAGAATCAAACACACTGAAGAAAAAGCAGGTTGGTGTTTATTCTTCATTCTTCATTAATAATGCTGATGGTTATAAAGCTTCAAACAGTTTTAGATTTTTGTTGTAACAAGGAAAATCTTTAGAGCTGTTGAATAAACTTACTGAAGGATCAAATATTAATATTTCTTTGAACTGGATACTTTTTCCCTAAAATGTATGTTAGATAACTGAAGTTGATCAAACATATTTATTAGTTCCATAGAAACATGGAATTTGTGACTACAATTGTTTTAAACATATTAATTAGAAGACCAACGTACCTCATTCATGGAAAGTTTCAGGGACATATGATTTATAAAAACACATCAAAATTATCAACATTTTGTAACACAATTGTCTATTTTCCATTGTTATATCAGGGTTTACTTTTATGTTCTTTCATAAAAGTTCCTGAAAATGAACTGTTTTTACTTTTATTTCAGAGTTGATTGAAGAAAATGAGCAGAATGAAGAATTGAGTGAAGTTGAAGAGAAAAATCATGTTAAAACTGGAGAAAAACCTTTGAGTTGCTCTCAAACCAAACAGAAAGATTTAAAGAAAAGATGAGACAAGAAATCTTTCACCTGCACCCAGTGTGGAAAGAGTTTGACAAGCAAATATGGTCTTGATGTTCACATGAGAGTTCATACTGGAGAGAAACCGTACAGTTGTGATCAGTGCGGGAAGAGTTACACACGATCATCAAGCCTTAAGGGCCACATGAACATCCACACTGGAGAGAAACTGTATGCATGTGATCAATGCAGCAAAATGTTTTTGAGGGCATCATACCTGAAGAATCACCTGAAAGTCCATACAAAGAAGAAGCCACATTCATGTTATTTGTGTTCTTGATGTTCACATGAGAGTTCATACTGGAGAGAAACCATTCAGTTGTGATCAGTGCGGGAAGAGTTTCTCACAATCATCAAACCTTAAGGTACATGTGAGGATCCACACTGGAGAGAAACCATACACTTGTGATCAATGTGGGAAGAGTTTCTCACTATCATCAACCCTTAATGAACACATGAACATCCACACCGGAGAGAAACTGTATGCATGTGATCAATGCAGCAAAATGTTTTTGAGGGCATCATACCTGAAGAATCACCTGAAAGTCCATACAAAGAAGAAGCCACATTCATGTTATTTGTGTGGAAAGAGTTTTTCACATCTACAATATTTGAAAGAACATCAGAAAATACATACTGCTGTGAGAGAGTACATGTGCTTTGAGTGTGACAAGACTTTTACTTCAGCAAACTGTTTAAAACTGCACGAGAGGATCCACACTGGAGAGAAACCATATAAATGTTCACACTGTGACAAGAGATTCAGTCAGTCAGGAGCCCTGAAAACACACGAGAGGATCCACACTGGAGAGAAACCGTACAAGTGTTCACACTGTGACCAGAGATTCAGTCAGTCAGGAGCCCTGAAAACACACAAGAGGATCCACACTGGAGAGAAACCATACAAGTGTTCACACTGTGACAAGAGATTCAGTCAGTCAGCAAATCAGAAAACACATGAGAGGATCCACACTGGAGAGAAACCATATCACTGCACTGCATGTGGGAAGTGTTTCAATCAATCATATTCTCTACACAGACACACACAAAACAATCACAGTAAGTAGATCATTTTCAGATCAGCACTTTCAGATCTGATGCTGCGTCCTCACCAAATGAGACACAATAATGCATAAAGCAATAAAATATCTGGATAAATCTTTCCTAACCAGACATTACAAGTGACATGGAAACATTATCTAAAGTTTCACAGTGAATAAAGTTCTTCATCTTCAAAACCAGCAGATTCAACTGTGAGATTCAGATCAACTCAAAGATGGAGTTCCTCCCCAACGAACAATTTCAGAGAGTTTTATTCTTGTGTATCATTTTGCTTCATGATATAAATTATATCATTGTGTTTTCTTATGAGTTTCATATTATGTGCAATTGTCTTATAATGCATATGTATCACCTGTAGTTTGCTTACTCTTTCATGAAGGAAAGTAGCTTTTTACACACCGTTCTTGTTCAGGAATCTGAAGAAGTGTCTGTAACACTTTTAAGAGAGACTGAGATTTATTTTTAAACTTTTTCTTCACTGTTGTTTTTAAAATGACTAGTTATTCTTACACTTATGATGCATTTAGGAAATGCAGATGCAATATATACTGTCATGTAGCTTTGAAACTGATGCTTCTTTGCTTTGCTTCTTTATTAAATGTTATCTTTTTATTAATACATTATCTTTACTTTTTACATTTTATCAACATTTATTGTCTGCTGATTGTATTTGTATAAGGAAAAAGTAATTTTATAATTTTAGTTTTAAAATCTGAAAGCCACAAAGTGTTATCTTTGCTTTTTGGCCTTTCTGCTTTAAATTTCTCAATAAAGCTTTCGAATTGAATTGAATTGAAAGCCTTTATTGTCATTGTATTTTTCTGAATACAATGAAATTAGGAGCACTGCTCCTGACTGGTGTTAGAAAACAAATTGTTGAGTGTCTCAAAATAAAAGCAAATACACTTTCTGTGTCTGGAACTCTGCATAACTCTTTTTTTTTCTCATCATGTACTCCCTTCTCATTCTCCTTTGTCATCCTTTTCTCACATACAGAAAACGAAGCGTTTGAGAGAGGCGGGGCATAGAGGACCTACAATAATGTACAGTATTTGAAAAATAATGTGTTTTTTGAACATTAAAGCATGTCAACATATTCTGTTACACCAAATACACAAAATAATGATCTTTAAAAAAGCATCATATGACCCCTTTAAGAACAAACATACCACAGGGACAATGATCTCAGTGCAAATAGTTAAGTTAAGATACAAGTTACTATTGATTGATTTTTTGAAACAACTCTCTTGCAACCTTCCAATCCCAACATTATGATTTGCAAACAAACCATTTTTGAACAAATATTGTTACAGTAATGCAATTTTTCAAACACTTTGTATAAGCACATAACAGTGCTCAAACACAATATTCACAGAACAGCAACAACATTCCTTTTCTTATACTGTGCAGACACATATTGTGTACTAGTAATGCATTACGCACTTTTTACATCACATAATCCTGAGTCCATGCAGGTGCATGCCTACTCCGAACAGGTCGTGTAACTACTGCAGGTTGTTCACCCCCCTTACAGAGTTGGTATCCCCAGAGTCAAACAATGGCAGTTCACTGGACTCGTCTGTTCTGCATGGAGCTAGAGCAGGTGCTAGGTGGGATGCATTCCAGCATCGTCCATCTGACAACTTATATGTGTACAGTCCTTTCTTACCCACAACTTTTAGGGGTTTTCCAAATTTAGACTGGGTCTTTGGCACAATTCCAGGTGTATTTACACGGACATACGATCCACACTGAAATGATACATGTTTTGCGCTGCATTTTCTGTCACTGTACTGTTTACTTTTTTCTGTTTCTACCTCACATGTGAAGCAAGCCGGTGAGGTGTGAGCAGTTTGCCTGCAGGTGGCAAGCGAAGACCTGAAACGTTTGTTTAACATAGCTCTCCCATGCAAGAGTTCAGTTGGTGTGCACTGTGTTGTGGCATGCGACGTTGCATGGTTTGCCTGCAGAAAGTCTTTGGTGAACTCCTTCCACTCTCTTCCGCATCGTCCATCTGACAACTTATATGTGTACAGTCCTTTCTTACCCACAACTTTTAGGGGTTTTCCAAATTTAGACTGGGTCTTTGGCACAATTCCAGGTGTATTTACACGGACATACGATCCACACTGAAATGATACATGTTTTGCGCTGCATTTTCTGTCACTGTACTGTTTACTTTTTTCTGTTTCTACCTCACATGTGAAGCAAGCCGGTGAGGTGTGAGCAGTTTGCCTGCAGGTGGCAAGCGAAGACCTGAAACGTTTGTTTAACATAGCTCTCCCATGCAAGAGTTCAGTTGGTGTGCACTGTGTTGTGGCATGCGACGTTGCATGGTTTGCCTGCAGAAAGTCTTTGGTGAACTCCTTCCACTCTCTTCCTTCCAGTGAAGCAGTTTGTAAACTATCCTTTAAGCTGCGATTGAAGTAATACACAGATGATTCCTCTGTTTTGCAAGAACAGTTTGAAGTTGTGTGAAGTGAACTGTACTCCATTATCAGAAATCAGCTTGTTTGGGTTTCCTTCCCTACTAAACACTGTAGACAGGAACTGCACCACGGCCTGGGTGGTAGGATGCGAGACAAATGCTATCTCAGGCCACTTACTGTAATAGTCCACCATAGCGACAATCAGCAGGTGCTGCGCCAAAAGGACCCATGATGTCTATGGCCACTTTCTCCCAGGCGTCAGTAGAACATGGTACAGGTTGGAATGGTGTTATATGTGTGATGTCATGTAACTGACATGTGACACAAGCTTTGACAGCTGTTTCTACTTGTTTGTCCATGCCAGGCCACCAGTATAGCTCTTTCAGCCTCCTTTTTGTCCTTACAATGCCCTGATGCGTATCATGTGCAAGCGTGATGAACTTGGGCTGGAGACATTCTGGAACCAGGAGGCGTGTGGTTCAACAAACCACGCAACCATCCTGGAGTGAAAGTTCATGCTGCACTTGAAAATATGGCTGTAAAGCATGATCCAGTGCCTTTGGACACTTTGGCCATTTTGAGGCAAGCAGTCTGCATAACTCAGCTTGGATAGGACAAGAATCACATGCCGCTTTGAACTCAGAACTAGTTATTGCAGTGAGCATAGAAGTGAGAGCTACGACTTACAAATCATGCTCCAAACTAGGTTCAGTACTTGAGAGTGGTAAGCGAGATAAAAAATCTGCGGTCACATTCTCATGCCTCGGCTTGTATTTAATGTCATAGGTAAATGCCATCAGCCTAGCAGACCATCTTGCTATGCGCATACCTGCTCTACCTTGACCCTTAGATGACAGAAGGGTGGTCAGCATCCCCACAAGTAGGTCCTCCATCTCTCTGCAGCCCAAACACATGCTAGCGCCTCTTTTTCTACCGTGGAGTACTTCCTTTCTGCTGCGTCAGGGTGCATGAGGCAAAATCCTCTGTTCTCTCCATGTGGTCTGCATGTATCTGGGTAAGAACTCCTCCTATCCCATAGTCTGAGGCCTCTGTGGTCACTATAGTAGGTAGTTCTGGATTGAAAAGTGAGAGGGCAGCACTATTCACAATCTCAATCTCAAAGCTCTCCTCAGCCTCAGGTGACCAAATGAATGGACTAGAGCCTCGTAAAAGTACACGCAATGGCTCCACCACTGTAGCGTAATTTGGTATGAATTTAGAATACCATGATGTGAGACCCAGGAATCAACGAAGGCTAACCTCATCAACAGGAGGTGGTGTATCGGACACCGCAGAGACATAGGAAACATTAGGCTGTAATCCCTTCTCAGACAGGGTGTGGCCCAGGAATGACAGTTCTGTTTTTCTGAAGTGGCACTTCGCCAAGTTCAATTTGAGTCCTGCTTCATCAATTCACTGCAGCACAGATTGCAGGTTTTTATCATGTTCCTCGAGTGTTGCTCCTGTGACCATGATGTCATCCAAGTAGCAATGAGCTTCCGACTGACCTTTAAGGATTTCGGGCATCATCCTCTGGAAGCAGCTTGGCGCTGAGGCCAGTCCATATGGAACCCTTTTGAAATGAAATAATCCATCATGCGTCATAAACGCAGTAAGGTTTCGACTGTCCTCATGCAACACTACCTGGTGATAAGCAATTTGGAGGTCTAATGTAGAAAACACTGTTGCTCGAGACAGGTTTGCAAACATTTCCTCCATATGTGGAAGAGGAAAGCTGTCCACTACCACTGCCTTGTTAGGCTCACGTAAGTCGACGCAGAGCCGAATCCCCCCGTCTTTTTTCCAGGTGACCACTATTGGGGAGACCCACTCAGATGCATCCACTGGCTCGATTACATCCTGTTGTACAAGCTTCTGTAATTCCTTGGACAACTCATTGCAGATTGAAAAAGGTAACCGCCTCAGTTTCTGCTGCACAGGCTGAACACTAGGCCGAAGATGAACACGATGCACAAATTCTCTTGCACATCCCAGCCTGTTTTCCAACTTTGCATCTATAGATGAGACAGGATGTGTGCACTGGTCTGTACTGACCTGACCGTCACAGAGTTGTAAACACAATCCAGTAAAGAGGTCTCTGCCCAGCAGAGCTGATCCCTTTTGTACAATGTATAATTCTGTGGTAGTGCAATTGCCTGTATACGAGATGCTGGCTGGCAGGCATCCTTTCAACTGAATGTCCTGTTTTTGTCCTGTGCTTGCACGTGTCTGTACTGTACACATTATTTTTCCACAGTCACAAGCAGAATGTTCAATATTTAACACCGTCAATTCAGGCAGTGTAATTTCACGCACACGTTTGGTTCCTTGACATGTCTTTGCAAAATGTCCTGTTTTGTTACAGTTCCTGCACACCGCATCCTTTGAAGGGCATCCGGGAAAATTAGCTGCATGCTGCTCAGATCCGCAGCGGTAGCAAGTACGTGCACAGGTAACTTTTGGAGGTCTGCGAGTGGCATTGACTTTACTTTTGCTCCGTCGGGGTCTGTTATGTTGTTGAACTGCTTGTACTGAGTTGTCGGATGACGCGATCATCGCTTTAGCCTCTGCTGTAG